ACTGATCCCTTTGAAGTGAAGACAGCAGTAAGACAAGGTTGCCACCTACTATCACACATCATCTTCCTCATTGTCGTAGACTCGACTCAACTCGACTCGACTAGACTGGACTAGGTCATGCAACAAACTGTGAGGAGCTGTGAGGAGATGGACATACGCTGGCTGGCCGGACCGATGAAAAGAGCCCAGGAGAAGATTTCGATTTCGCCAACGATGATCATGATGATGATGATGATGTCGCACAAACTCGAAGATCTACAGGCGAAATCCAACAACTTCATAGAAGAGGCAGACCAACGAAGGAACACAAGACTTCCTTCTGGTGAACGTACAGAAGACAGAGACAGAGATGATGAAGATACCCAACCAACAACTACTACTACTACTACTACTACTACAAGCACCAATCCCCATCAACGGGAGAAACCTAGAGGAAGTAGTCTCTTTCACCCACCTACCTAAGCAGCATCCTTTCAACTACAGCCGTCACAGCCACAGATCAGGATGTCAAGCCAGGATCGAAAACACAACAAGACAGGTCTCCTTGCAATAATCTGATATCAGTGTGGAGATCTACTTCACTCCACTCCACTGCACTACACTACACTACACTACACTACACTACACTACACTACACAGCATAAAAAGTGAACAACATCCAGATTTTCAACACTAATTCACTCAATTAAGTCACTGCTTCTATGTGAGGGTTGAGAGACTGAGCACGTCACCAAAACCATTCCCAACAAACTACACACATTCATCAACACCCACCACCTACGCTCACTCCATACTGACACTGAAGATCAGATGGCCAGAATAATGAGAACAAGCAAGGTGGAACTCACTCTGGTTGGCAACCAACCAACTAACAACCCATCGTCCAACACATATGTGGAAGAAAGTGGAGATGGATTGGATTGGACATACACTGAGGAGACTCTTTGAGGAAATCACGCGACAGACCAGCCCTCGATTGGAACCTAAAAGGAAAACGACGAGTTGGGTGTCCGGGGTGAGGGTGACATGGAGGAGATCATGTGAGGAAGAAATGAAAGCTTGTGGGCAGTGATGGAGTTAGATTGAAAAGACTGGTGAGAAGAGAGTGGAATGGAGACGTGATGGTGTAGCCGTATGTTCCACTAGGAACCCAAGCGACAAATAATAATAACAATAATAGTAAATTGTTAGCGTTTCATCACTATTCTAATAACCAGCTTGAGTAGTTTCTAACTACTCAAATTATTCAGTAGTATATTTAATTACATTCATATTTTATGGAATCTTCAATTCAAACTTTATGCTGTAGTGTCACGTTTTTGACATCTTCAAGATGCTGCATAGTTTTCTGCTATCTTGTATGCAACATCTGCAGTTCATCACTCTCTCTATCCAGTCTCGAAAACCAGCATTTCCATCGATCAAGTCACACTTACAACTTTGAAAACTAGAGATCTCCAAAGCAGAACCTTAATTTCATTAGATTTATCGTGTATAGACTCGAAGGTGTATAGTATCCTCTAATGGTTCTTCGATGAAGGTCATCTTTTTTCCCAGCCTCATATGTTGAATTTCTGTGCATCAATCTTGACTTTGATACTAAGAACTGATATTAGGTAGAAGTGAAACGCTCGACGCGCGTTTCATCCTACTTGGGACTCGTCAACTTGATGTACCTGCTTGACAGTAAGTAATGTTATCCCCTACTGGGACTCAGAGCCACCAACCATTGCTTCAAACACTAGAGACGTATCCATTGGGCTGATTGGTTCACTCATTGTATGATAGGTATGGTTTGATGTCGTGGTGTGTAGCCTTCCATCGTTGACCGGACTAAACTCACAGGTCATAGTTGGTTATATGAGATCCAGTGCAGATGCCTCAATGTTACCGGTTACTACTATGTCGAATCTAGGCATGCTACGAGTTTTCTAGAAACTATTCATCAACTAATCAGGCAAACAGTTGTCGAGATGATTTTCATTCGCACCACACTAACGTGTCGTATAGAGTAGTGTCATATTTCCCCGTCATAAACCGTAAGCGTATCTGTTCAGCCTACAATACCGCTTATTATAGTTATTATTATCGCTCTTTGATTTTTGTAAACTAAATAACTATCTAAATGTATATCCTGAAGTTCTAATGAGAACCCGTGACCTCTGGGGTCTACCGAATCGGCAGTGAAGGGGATGCACACTGATGACAGTGAATGATTGTACCATGTCATGAATTGATAGAGGTAGGAAAATGTAGAGCATTGAACTCCGACTCAGTGACTGAATGGTAACGCGCTCACCACGAGATCTGAAAACCCTGAGTATGATTCTTAGTCGACTTGTGGTTGTGTACTGCTGAGGTGTCTCATATGAGGACGAGACAGCTGTCCCGTGCTCCAAGGTCTTCATTGGTTCTCCAGCTGATGTCAGTTTATGGCGAATATCACCTTGAAATAAATAAATCCCTAACTTCTATCAAAAAACATGTTGAACAGCCAGAGTATAGCACAACATAAAATTCCTTCGTACACTAATTCCAACCACTCTATTATCAGCTTAGTATTTCTGGTCGCCTAGTTGTGTAGCTACCAGTGTTGATCGTTTAAATAAAGTTTTTCGAAAGCCTCAAACTATCAAAGTGTAGATAACACTTTGATGGATTTATGAGAATCTTGTTCTGTAGCCTACCACGCACATTTACGCCCAATAGACAGATGAGAAATCTTAGTGTAGAAAAAGTATACCGTAAATGTGTCAGTGAATTATATTTGTTTGGTGTTGTCTAGTGATAAGGAGGAGACATTCACGACTTCAAAATGCTAGTATGCTCTGTCGACTAAACTGTACGCTGTCAAGAAAAAACTATCTTTTGTGCAATAAGCTGGGCATTGAGAATATGAAATTCCTCATCATTCAATTAATTACGGTGGTTTGGTCAGCCTTGAATCACAGAAAGAATATGATGATAATCTATTGCATTCTTCCTTACCAGCTCCAGTCAACAACAAATAGACTAATATTTCCTTTAGAAATTATTATTTTTAGATAAAGGAATTCCGTTAAAATTATAATCTCATTCTACATTTTTCGTTTAAGAATTGGATCCTTTACAGAAGTCCTGTTTTAGAGAAAAAGGCAGTAGGAAAATTACCAGACGACTTTGATATTTTACTCCAATTTTCGGCTCAGCTCCGGTTTCAGGCTAGTCTTCAGATCTTTGAGCATTCCAACGCAACCTAGTGGATCGGTTCCCTCTTCGAGCAACAAACATCCAAGTAACGCTTTCACATGAAAACGAACACCCCTGCTACAGTATTCTGATAATGCTCCCTCAAACTGATCAGTGCTACCCAAAAACCCTCCGAAATATCAGACTTTATAGATGCACATATAACGGGCACTTGGCTCGTTCGACTGAAATCACTTCCCTGAGGGCAGACATGCGCGTAGGACGCGATTCACTGGTCTCCATGACCTTGCAGAAGGAATGAGGCTTCATCCTTCTCTAGGAAGCTCAGTCTGTGAATTCATAGTGCAGACAGATTAACATTGGTGGCTTCTTTACGGTTACTGATAATACTGCTAAAGCTAAGGCTAACAATACTGACACTGCTGGTCGAATATCACTCGCAGTCTCTTGAGAGTGCTTCCATAACAATGACTACGTAAATTAAGAAGTTGAATTCACCACACTTTTCGGTTGTATTGATTGTATTAACCTGGCGGAGTCCCGACGGTTAACAAGACTATCCATATTTTGAAGACCTATGTCACTGATCCTTAGCACATAAATCTCACCAACTGCAGTTTTTGCCAATTCAACTTGACGGTACACTGATTGATATCCAGTGGAGAAGCTCATCGTCATACGTAACTAGGCTCGATCCGTAATTAGAAAACAATTATCAATAAAATTCAATAAAATATTAATATACAAAGCCAAAAATGACTGTTTTTGATTTTTTGCAAAAAGAAAAACAAACTAAATACACACAAGCATATCCCTAAAATATTAAAACAGATAAACGGGGGCAAATAGTCGGCAGTGAAAAAGAAAACCTATTTCTTCAGTTACGACGTCTGTTTTTCTCCTTTAAGCCTACCAAACAAAAGTAATAATAATAATAATAGTGATAACAATAGTGATAAGAATAAGAATGATGATTGTAGTGGTCTGTTTTGCCACGAAACAGATTAGTCCTATGTGTACGTATAACAAGTGGTTGCATTTGCAACTAACAAACAGCTTAAGTATAAGTGAATACTCACAAAAATGCTCATACTTATTGTTTAATAATTGACCAATTAGTATAGAAATGTAAAAAAAAGAGTGGAACAACTTAATTAACCAAACAAAAACCGGTTAGTCAATTTACCACGTTGGTTCTGTAAAGAAACACCAACAACAACGCCAAAAAATTCTCTTCACAGTATAAATTTAAGGCAATTGACAGTGTAAGGGATAAAAGATTATCTATGAAGCATAAATTATCATCACCTAATCACACTGGTCGGCAATCGGTCAATAGTGTTGACCAACAAGAAATAAGTATTGGGGGCAGTTGGGCAGTCATCACAAACTTTTGACCAATCAAATGAGAGTATAAAGTCAGCCCATAAGTGTTAACCAATAAAATTAAAGTCCAACTCAAATGTCGTGTTATAGACTATCAATAATGGTCTGATGAATAAAAATAAAATTTCTCTCTCTCGTTCATAAGACAATACATTTTACTCAAAAATATTTTCTATAGTAGTAATAATAATGATAATGGTAATAAAGAACCGATATAGATAAGGATAGGATAATGTAGAAATTGTATAAATCTAAAATTCCGTTGCGTTAGGACATACATTCACTATATACCACTTGTGAATAACAAATAGTAAAAGTAATCATGAAATCTCCATATTTAATATGATTTTCAATCCGTTCAAATTATTAACATTGATGAAATCTGTAAAGATGATAGTGCTGCATAATTAATAGGACAGTAGTAATTAATCACTATCATCAGATCTGATTTCAACACCCTCAGAATGATTGGTCATTAATGTTCCAGCCTGAAAACTAGAATTTCTTTCACTGTTGTTAACATGACGACATGAGAATTGACAGTGATGACAACAAATATGATGGTAATGATGATAGGGGTTAGCATAAAGTGATGATACTATCGATGGCTGAGTAGGAAAACGACTTTGAGAAGATCCTGAGATTTGATGAATACCCTCATCTATATGAACCGGAGAAATTGTATCGTCAGCTGGTTGGTGGAGTTCATGTAGTGTTGTTTGCAGACTGTGTCGAGGGTTCATAACACCACCACTGTATGTTGCTGTTCTCCGTCTAGAAAAATTATTCCGATTTGGAGTATTTGACGATGAATCTGAAATGATTGTATTTGTACCTCTGGGTAATGATTGACCGATCAATCCTATCGTCTGTCGTATATAGGCTATCGGAGATGCAAACAGCCAAGTTAGGCTAAAAGAGATTCCCCAAACAGACAGTATACTGCTACTCGCTCTTCTAAGCCCATTATACAATGCATCACTTGGCTAAAACATAATGGACAATAATATAAAAAAGAGTTTCTTTTCGAAAAGAATTTAATTAAAACTAACTCACTCTTGCTATGAAATGATCATTCACTTGAGTACTAAAAGTTTATTTCACAAAATGTAATGTCATAGTCATCATCGATAAGGTTGAATAATTCGTTAGGTGACTGAATTTGTGCGTGACAGTGACATAGTGTAGAAAAAATCTCTTCTGACACTAGAGACACACCTGAAGAAGTTGTATATGAGATTCATGAATGTATTCTTTAAATCCTTGTCCCATATATTCTTCCTTCATTGGAAACGATCTCATCAATTCCGGGGCTGACATTGTCATTGTTCATACAACACAACAAATTACTATTGAACAGTGAATTTATACCTATCAGACTAAGAATCACACCTAATTTGTAGGCGCTTAAGCTTAAATTTTTGAACTCATGACAGTGGTTGGTTGTTGGGAACCGAAATCGACCAGGTCTATTAACTTCAAAGATATAGATAAAGGAATATTTTATGCCCTATTCAATAGTGATATCATATTTAGACACACATGATAATCATTTGACTATTTGAGATAGCCGTGGTTTGGCAGACTAGTATTTCTACTGGGTGATGATTGAAGGTGAAATGGGAATCTGGACTACGGCCGGATTCGAACCAGCAGCCACCGGGTCTCCAGCCCGATGCTCTACCAACTGAGCTACAAGGTCAGTAGTCGGGCCTCGTAGCTCAGTTAGTAGAGCATCAGGCCGGAGATCCAGTGGCCGCTGGTTCGAATCCGGTCGCAACACTAATTTCCATTTCACCTTCAATCATCACTCAGTAAAAATATGCATCATAACTTAAAAATGTGTACATTATGGAAATATATCATATATATCTAAAGTGACACAATGCTATTGTTATGTTATCTTCAAAATGTTCCAAACAGATCAGCTGATTTTATCAACATACAGAGAGGTAATCAATACCGCTCATTTGGATAGACACTGACTTGACCACCATAGCCTAAAGTAAGATGAATCAGTTAGTGCAGGTGTACAACTTGACGGTAGACTAATTTTCCTTCTCTTAATTAAGCTACCTGAGATAGACATGGTTTGGCAGACTAGTGTTATTAATGCTGGATAATGACTGTAGATGAAACGGAAATTAGGATTCGAACCAGCGAACTGCAGGTTACCACCCTAGCGATCTACCAACTGAGATACGAAACCTAGCTGCTTCAGCTCTAAAAACTAACTATGATTAACTTGATAATTCTTGAGTCGGTGTTTCTACTACATACCATCAACCACTGGATACGTGGGGTCTTCCCTCTTCACGTTACCCACCACAATCAATATCCGCATTCTCAGCCATCAAGCAGCAGAGGGCAGAATGTTGTGCAGCATATTTATCTTCTAGTCAGTTTTCAGTAGTATCAGTTCAGGATAATCCGATGATTCTCATAATGTCAATAGTAAAACAATGTTCTATTAAATAATGAATAATGGTATTTCCACTGAGACTCGAACCCAATAGCCACGGGTATGAGAGCCACATCTTGTTCAAATGGTATCAGTTGTTGTTTACTGATACCTGTAATCTCCCTTTGCAATACTGAGTCGAATTACTTGATCTCTGCTGGCAGATGGGTCCCTATGCTTTAACTTGTGAAGCGATAGGTCCCAGCAGGTCCAGGTACCTTCAGATGGTAAGTCTCAAATAGGACAAAATCTGTGTCGTGGATTCCACTGCTAACCCACCAAATAAACTACATCATGAATATTCAGGCAGTATCAAGGCATCTGTGCATAGGGGGTTCATCTCTGCCAATAGAAGTCGAGTCATTCGACTCAGTATAGTAATAGGAAACTATAAATATCACTCAATAAAAAATGTACTTAACAATATACACCTGAATTTAGTATTTCAATTCATTTTTTATAAATCTTCCTTTCATTCTATTCGTCAGTTGAATTTCAAGGTAATTATATTATTTTCTGTCACGTGGTTTAACGGTTTGTTTTCCTCTTTTTAAACTTTTAAGTACTGTACTTCGTCTGTTTTCATATACATGATGTTGTTATTGTATATCAGATTATCACAGCATAGTTGAACAGATGAATGTTAGTCAGAGTGTGAGTCATACAAAGTTATTGATTTCGGTTAGAAGTAACCATAGTTGTATGCGTACAGTTCATTTCTTATTTATTATATTGAAAAGGGGTTAGAAGAAAAAAAACACATAAGGTAAAAAATTGCTTAGAATATGATTGACTTTTAGTGTTTCTGATGATCACACTAAAATTTATTAAAAGATCAGATGAGGTTGTGTAATACTTGATCAATGCTTCAACAAAGTCTATCCCTATGTCTACAGGTTGACTAGGGTAGGGAGACCAGACAAAAGTGTGTTATCCATCATCTGTGTTGTAGTATCTGAATGATGGTTTAACCTATGGTAGAAGTGTAGTCTTCTTGGTTAAGGTCCATACATCACCCGAAATATATTGGTTATAAATTGTAGGCGATATTAGATCTACACTTATACTCATGTCAAAGGGTTGGAGCCAATTGGCTAGAAGTCCTCCGTGTTTGTTCGCGCTCGTCAGTAAGGTGTATCTGTAATCTCGAGGAAATTTTATTGTCACCTGGGAGGTTCAAACTTGAGTCAGCCAACCAACTAGTATCAGTCAAACATGGACTGTGATGCTGAGTTTGGTGAACATGTTACAAAAATGATCGATAGAATTTGGTCAACACTAAGGACTGGAGAACGTGGAATTAGCCATTCTCCACTGACTAACTAATGTCTCTACACTTATATTGCCTAGATTTGTAGACTAAATGCCTTTAAAATAAGCATAAGGGGTGGGCTTTTGTAACATGGTGACCTAAGGAATAGTGTTTTGTCAGTGGGAAGAAAGAATGCTGAATATGCGTTGCGCTAGACACATAAAACATACCTGTTGTGTAAGGGCTGTTGATGATACTACCCGGCTACGCAAACCTTAATAGGTGGAACGGGTCTCGAACCAGTGGCCCAAGAGGTTATAAGTTATCTCCCTAAACCAGTAAGCTACAGCTCCAACTAATTTATAGTAACACAATAGTAATATAACGAATGACTTCAAATACATGAACTTACCAGATTATACCTTGATCGAATCACTCTAGATTGACTAATCATTAATTCATCTCCAACACTGGCTAAACGTCTTGCCAACAGAGTTAAATGTATCCTACCCGATGGATGCGATAATTCAGTGTCAAGGTTAGGAAGTGTATCACATACTAATTCCGCTGAGAAGGAAGGATTATTCACTTGACTACAATGAAAGTGGAAGAGATCACAACAATTCAAAGAATGTTGTTGTTGATGTTGTGGATAATTTTGATGCAAATTTATCGATGTTTGTACAAGTGGAACAGATGAACATCTTGGTTGTGAAAGTGTTGAATGATGGTGTAATGGAATGAAATTTGATCCACTTATATTGTACATATGTAATCCTAGTCGAGGTACAACATCTGGCATAGGCGGTTGTGAGATAACTCTACTATTGACTACTTGATCCGTTTCATTAGTTATGATAACATTGTTCAAAGGTGAATTCGGCAAGGAATTGACGAGATGAGAAGATGCTATAGGAGAGTAAAAGAAATAAAAACAATTTTCCTTGATTGATAGCTCATGAAAAATATATACAGTCATTATAGCAAATGATCATAAAATGATTTAGTGGGGGTTCTAGAGGGGAATTTCTTCTTCAAAGTGGATCTAACTGCCACAGTATGTTCTACACTTAGTTTTTACAGTCTCTTGTCCATGTAAATCATATCAAATCGAATCAAAACCCACTTACCAAGCTTGTGTACATTTGTGAAGTGGACAATGAGCCACCACACCTACTGTGCGAGAGCTAGTGATACGAACTGGCTGAACAAAAACCTCAAAGCCATGACTCACTATCTGCAAGTTAATTTTCAAAGTCAATAAGTCACAGAAGATGTATTTATTATGGCACAGTTAAAACGGGTTGCTGCCTATAACAAAACTACTAGGTCCAGAAATACTCAATTTCTCTAACACCTCTGCTTTAAAAGTAACTATGTCATAGTACTGAAAGTTATTCTTTCTTAGTGATGATTGAAATTGGCATGAAACTTGTACCATAACATGATTCGAACTAGACGACATCATATTACCTGTTTGATGGTCTATCAAATTAAACTATAAGTGGAACTCAACTAACCAGCTCAGCTCGACACTTTTAACTAAAAAATATCCCGCTTCTTCCTAAATGAATCGTATGAATGGTTCATATCCTACTATACTCACATTTAAAACTAAGTATCGTTCAACTACCTAATATTATATTGAATTCGTATTGAAAACATAAAGTTGTCCCCTGTGTTACTCTTAGCTTAATTTTATAAGTTATGATGAAAAACTAAAAGAGACTATAGGGAGACAGATCGCTTTAAAGTTACACCGTATTTATTATTTAAATGCACGCTATTCTATTCCTCGGAAAAACAGTCATAAATGGCTGAACTACTCTTTGCTCTATTCACCAGATAACTTACTGTTTTTTCCTTCCTAACGTAAAAAAAGTCCCAATATGCTCATTGCATAACTGATGTCAGTCCATAATGAATACTACCTTAAAATCAATAAATACCAATAAACCTTAGACCAAATTACTGTATAGTGTTCATTAATGATGTGCTTATAGATAGATATCTCATAGTTCGAATGAAAAGTCGTGACCGGTAGAGTCAACCAGTCGGAAGTGAAGCGGGACACTGAACTCTGACCCAATGGTTGAATAGTTGACCCGTTCACTGCGAGATTTGAAGGTACTGAGTTCGAGCCCTGGAGGGGTCGTAGGCACATACTTCTGAGGAGTCCCTTAGTGGGACGAAACAGCTGATATCCATTACTCCCAGGTTCTCTAACTGATGTGAAAATGTTGTCAAAAAAAAAGGAAACAGGTAGACAGGATAGAGACCGTTTTCATCGTCCGGTCAAAGTAAATGATAACGTCATCAATGTTCCTTTTTTCTTTAAAAAAATCATTAAGAAACTCAAAAATAAAGAGGAAACATTTCTGTGTATTTTCTAAGTGTAATCGGTGAGTTCATTCATTTATTCAGTAAATGAAACTTGAGATAAAATAAATGAAGTCCTCCCCCATCTCTTTTTTTCTTTTTACAGCATAAATATATAAAGCCATAGCAACCGTGTGAAGTAAGAAGACGGTGTATATCCTATTTTGCTGTATCATTTTATACAATTATTAATATCATTATATTGACTTTTAATTGAAACTTATTCACAATCGTCTAGACTTGTAGGATGTCTCAGCAACATTATATGTAGATATAACTTTATGACAAATTAACTCGGAAAAGATTAAAGGGAAAAGAAATGGCGGATGGAAATAAAATGAGTTCATCAATATATGCGCGTGTATATGTTGTGTTTGAAAGTTAATATCGTATACAAACATATATATAAAGACAGTAAAAATATGCATGTTTTTACATGTACAAATGGAAGAATATCACGTGACAAATAGGTTGATGAAGGCAACGCCCATTATCACTTCAAAAATGCAATGACATCATATAACTACGTGTACATTTTATTGTAAGTCTTCCACTTTCTTTTAAAATAGAGAAAGACTAATAGATTTTAAGGTCAGACAGTTTCAATGAAAAAAAATTGACTGATGAATAACAAAAATGAATCATAATATTTTTAAACAATAATAAAAGTATGGTAATCCAGTTGATTGTGGCTAAACACAGGGATCCAGTACGCGCGTTTCGTCCTACTGGGGACTCATCTGCTAACCACAACCAACCAAATTACCATAGTTAAAATTTAGGCAGCATCGAGGTGTCTGCATAGGAGCCCATATGCCAATGGAGGTTGAACAATCCGATCCAATAAAACAAAGGAGAATTACAAGTATATCAATAAATAGTAATAACTACTACCCATTGTGCAAGAAGTGGCCATCGTTCCTCCGTGGCATAGTGGATAGCATCTTGGTGTTTGAAGCTATGGGTATGGGGTTCGAATCCCAAGGGGGAACAACACTCACTAGGGTGCAGGTACATCCAGCTGACAAGTCCCAAATAGGACAAAACGCACATCCTGCATTCTTCTGCTAGCCACAACCAAACAAATTACCTTAATTAACATTTGGGCAACATCGAGGCATCTGCATAGAAACCAACAGAAGTCGAACAATTCGATCCAATAAAACAACGGAGAATTACAAGTATATCAATATCAATAAATAGTAATAACAATAAAAGTAATGAAGATAAATATATAGTAGTAAGTGACTGATAATTTTACTTTTCTGAAAACATAACAAATGTAAGAAAGTATTCCATAGTTGTTGAGTGTTAATATTCTAAAATCTCTCTCAAATGGACGTCAATGCGTTGTCAATCACCAAAGGTGATTGAAATGAAATAAAAACCTAGTCAGCAGTGGGATTTCGTAGCTCAGTTGGTAGAGTACCGGGTTGAAAACATGGTGGTCGCTGGTTCGAATCTTGTTGCGGCCCGAATTTCCATCTCACCACTAATCACCACTCAATCATCATTGTGACGCACTAGTTTGAAAGTCAACAAAAATGTGAGCAACACAAAACTTGAAGGTTAAAGCTATAGCCTTAGCTTTATATGCAGTTAAAGCATGAGATGAAATTCCTATCCCGTTATTTTTCCAGATGATATCACTCTGTTACAGGAAGTTCATATATTACTGTTGCTGAGGTCAACCAGACTATAGCGAGATATATGCTGAATGCTTTGTATAAACAACAACATACAAAATAAGAACGAACTGAAACACTCTTACCAACAATACCTGTAAACCAATGCTACAAGAGCTCAGTCGTGACTTACTGGTCACGCCAATAACTGCAACAGCATTGGGTGATAAGGGTTCAAATTTCCTGCGGAACATAAGCCCTTCAAATAGGGTTTCCTATCAATCGCCTGCAACTATCTGACATATAGTTAGAACTTGGAACATATTTTACGGAGATTTTTTCTTCCGTCTATATTTAATTCAAAACCTTAATTAAGCGGGCAATTCATTGTTTCGCTTGATAACACCACTGCTATATTATCTAACTACTTCAATTGTTCAATTTAACTTAGTGGTAGCTAGCAGTAGGATGCAGAGGTGAGAGTCGTCCTATTTAGGACTCATAAGTTGGATGTGCTTGGACTCCAAGCAGTGATCATGTTCCTGCTGAGACTCGAATCCCGTACCAATCGCTTCGAACGCCAAAGCGTTACCCCCTAGGCCACTCAGACATGATAGCCGCATCTTATGCAACGGGTATTAGTTATGATTATTTTTTGATACTCTCATATGAGCCCATATCCCAAGAGAGGCGGATCAGTTCGATCCAGCATAAAACACTAAGCATTAGCAATAAAAAGTCCTTAAATATTTTTCTAATCCAAGTAATGATTTTAAAAAAGTAATTTAACCTAGGGATTTGTTGTTTTTAAGTTGATGTTCATCATGGGCTGACAGCAGTTGGAGGAACATTGGGAACCTAGGAGCACTTGACAATCGTTTTGTTCTAGTATGCGGCTCTTCAGCAGTGGTCACCCATGACCACGCCCGCCAGGGACCGAACCCAGGGCCTCGAGGTTACGTGACCAGGATGTTACCAGTGAGCCAATGGGTGGGTACTTGGTGGCCGTGAGGACATTTGGTGATGATCACACTATGTCATGAACTGACAGAAGTTGGAAATATGGACCATTGGATCCCGACCCAGTAGCTCAATGGTAACATTGTGGCCACAGGACCTGAAGGTCCTGGGTTCGATTGGTGGTGAGTGTAGTCATAGGTGTGCACTGCTGAGGAGTCGCATACTAGGACGAAACAGCTGTCCAGTGCTCCTCGAACTGATGTCGGTTCATGATGAATACCAACTTGAAAAACAAAAAGTAAGATTAAATCTGATGTTGAACACTGGCTGTATTGCATCATTATGTTGCATACACCCTGTGACCTTGAAGTATTTTAAAATGGCAATCCAAATAAATGAAAAAAAAGTTAGTTGTATGCCTAAAGATAAATATCTTTATTATTGTCTTATTGTTTCATTATTGTTATGATTTTGACATGAATGAACTTTACCAGAGAATTATAACATTATCCTATTGTTGTATACACATTTTAATTCATAAAATAATTTACAAACCATTTTTTATAAGATATAAGATATTCTCACATGACTAATAGACTAAAACTGACAGACATGTGTGTATATGTACATAGGTATATAGGTAAAAGATAATAAAAATTTGACAAGTGTATTTCACAATTAATTTACAATCATATTTTCAATGATTAAATAAAAATATTCAGTATAAAAATACTTGAATATGATTGCTAGTTGATTCAATGTTTCAAGGTTGAGTATGTATAGGTGCGGGCATGATGATGATGATGATGATGAATGAAATTAGTAATTTCAGACTGATTATACAATCAGATTAGTAGTCGAACTATCAACCTAACTACTACATAGTTTAATACCATAATTTTTTGTGCATTTCAGTTTGAAGATTTGTAGAGATTTTCTTTTATT